GTGGAGGTGTTGCGTCGGCGGAAGCTGCTGCTGCCAAATTTGTTCTCCTGCTGCAGTTGGAATTCGGGCCGAAACGAGGTGTAGAAACGGGACTTTAGGCGGAAGAATTGTTGCAGTTTTGTCGGCGGTTTCACGGTGTCCCGCAGGCGGAAGAATGTGTGCTGTTCGATGGCACTCTTCCAGAGGTGTTTGCAAGCGGTGGCATCGGGCAGAACGAAGACGAAAGTGTACTCCACAACCTTCCGCTGCAGGACAGACAAAAAAGGCTATGCATCAACAAAGTATAATTAAGCTTACTTTGGGGTGTACATTTTCAGTCAGAGACTCCTTCCTTAGTCGGAAAAGTCAAATTTGCATTTGCGACCTGGTAGAAAGGCGTATTTAGTTGCTGGCATCGGAAACAATCTATTATAGGCGAGAATACGCACATATCATTCAAGTATTTCTGGTCATTTTTGGGCTTTCCGTTTCATATTTCTTGTTCCTTATTGGCTGTTGTTCCCATTGGCTACTGATTTGCTCTAATTTACTCATAGGCGGTTTATTCAGTTATCACTCATTCCACTGAATATGAAATTTCAATTGTGATAAGCGACGACATCGCCGGGTGGGTCAAACAGCGCAGACCTACGCGTAAATTATTCTATATTGAGACACAGGCTTTCGCAGCATCTACTGCAAACCTTCAAGAAAACCAGGAGTAGGTGCAAGAGCAATGGCTGATAAGGTCAGAAAACCCGGCTACGCATTCCGCACACAATACTTGCCGATAACTATATGAACCGATCTAAATATGCGGACACATCTTTTGATGGACAACCAATACGGCCGCTGTGTAGAGTTCACAGCAGAGATTTATTTAAGCTCCGTAAACACTTTGCGAGGCTGACTCAAACTTCTGGTAGCGGATAGGCTTGAAAGTAAGTAAGGACGAGGCAGACTCGTAAGATATAAAAAAAACGATGTTCGTCCATTGATAGATAATTTGGCAGACGTAGCTGGGAGAAAAACGGTGGGATTTCAAACCTACGACGCAAGAGCCGAGGTTTTGGTGCAGCTTGCGCTTTGCTCCCTGATCTATGATCGGAATGGTTTAGTTTTCGAGGCCTGAGTTGAATTAGCCGCCCCATTTACTGGAACGTGTGAAATCCACAATTTCTTTAGGGCATGCTGACTATACAACCGGGTATTCTAGCTAATCAATATAAAATCCACGAGATGAGTACTCTAAATGTTGAATAAATAGGGCCCTTGCTGTTCCGTATTGGTAGATTCCATACGAGCGGTCAAATCTATCCAAGTGTGATTAAATTCAAGACGCACGGCGTGGCGTCGTAGCTCAAGTGGTGGAGCGTTGGCTGCGTTAAGGACTTCCTTGATATGCGGATTCGACTCCCGCCGAAGAGTTTTTTCACAACTGGACCAACCAGAATAAATTGGTGTTCCGGTAGATTTGAATGGTTTAACTGACTAATCTATTGAGTAACCTCGGCGGACTCGTAGCTGAGGTAGTTTGGACGATGGCTGCACCCCGATGCCCGCTACGGTTAACCTTCTAACACACAGTTTCGAACAGGTTGGTGTCAAAGTCGTCTGAATGTCGAAGTCGATGAC